CTCTACGTGTTTGGCGGACCTCAAAATGGATCTACGGGGCATATACTGATTTCGCGATGGCTGGGAGTTTGGACTATTGCATTCCTCAACGTGTTTCGCAGACCGCATATTAGTTATGCGGTCCACATAAGTGATTTTGCGATACTGGGCAAATTTTTGGCATGACCTATTTAAGGCTGAGTTTTATAATTTTATTCATTTCTTAACTTTTGGAGCTTATTGGAGAAGTTTGAAGCTAGGGTTTCACCCAAAAGCTTGGGGTAAATGATCCTAACCTAAATCCATGTATTAAACATGGAACTATCAGTAGATCTAACATCAAAATATGGATTTGAACAAGTGAATTTGGAATTCTGCCTACAACTTAAGAGAATGAATTTGGGGGGTTTGAACATGAAATATTAACCCGATTCAGAATATACTTATATATTTGGAATCGGGGTGTTATGGTAATCTATATATATGATCAATTTCGAATTTCGGGTCCGGGGCTCGAAGTCGACTTTTTAATTTGGGTTGAATATTGAATCTTTCCTAAAGCTTGTATTGACTAATTTGTGTAATATTTAACTAGATTCGAGTCGTTTGGAGGTGGATTTGAAGGAAAAATTGGTTTTAGAAGGTTGAAGTGTTTTTGGGTGGAGGTAAGTCTTTTGTCTATCCTTGTAAGAGGGAATTGTCCTCATAGGTGATCTATTTGCTACTTGTTGCTTGATTTAGGTACCACGTATATGCTAAGTGACGAGCATATATGCGTAGCTAGGTTATGACTGTAGCCGGATAGAGTTAGATTTCTATTATGCCTTATTTGGACTATGTAAATTATTTATCCATATTTCATTGATACAATGACTATGTGATGAAACTTATCCATAATTAGAAACCGTGCCTACAACATGGCTTGTTGATTTGGCCAGTCATATTTTTGCCTTACTTAATTTATAATTTAGTGGCTATTGGCTTATTTACTCATATGTGATATCATGATCGGACTTAAGAATATTAAATCAGCATAATGAACTGTTATGAGAAGTTGAATTACGCGATTAGCCATAGTTCTCTCTTATTCATGTAAACATTCATCTGCATTTTATTATTATGTCATGTGCATCTTTATCATATCATCTCATATGCATATGCATGACTTGGAGAATTGGATATTGAGGAAGGTAGAGAATTTTGGTAAGGTATTATGAGCAAATATTGATTATTGATAGTATTATGATTGGATTGGGTTGCTTGCCGCAACTGCGCTTAGATATGGAGTCGTCCCTCTGGAGTTAAGTGATTACCCATGTTACTTTGGGCTTTGTGAGCGCAGGCACCCTGATTGGTGCTCGATTTGGACACTTGGCCAGTGTCAGACACATGGATTTGTGCTATGAGGTATTGAGAGTGGATCATGAGCATGCATTTGCATCCTAGATTCATGCAGTAACTTTTATGACAGACTGATATCATAATTATGAAAAGAATTGAGGTACTTGACATCATATTGTATCTCTTTTGTCCGAAAAGCATGTCTAAATTCAAGATTTACTGTGCCTTTACCTTTTGTACCTATTTTATGATATCATATCTTATTTATTATTTTATTTACACATTCACTTGTTTATTGGACTGTTAGTAGGTGTCAATATCGATCTCTCGTCGCTACTTCTTCGAGGCTAGACTTGATACTTACTAAGTACCGTGATTTTGTACTCATACTACACTTCTGCATAATTTTATTTAAATTCTGAAGTAGGTACTAGTGGTACCCTTCCGGCTGTTTAGGAGCTTGCATGAAGACTTCGTGGTGAGCCACTCTATTTGATTTGATCCGCAACACATGGATTCCTCTTTCTTATTTATTCATCTCTGTCTATTTACTTCTTTCCAAGATAGATATATTATTTAGTTGAGACAGTTTACTCTTGTAAGATGCTCGTGATGATGCGGCACCGAATTTTGGAAGATTTGTGAAATAGTTGTGGTCGTGTTTAGACCATGTCTTTGATTTATATATTCATGATGCTATTTGAGACTTATTTTGCTTTCTTATTTACCTCATAACTCTGTTAATGATTTAACAATCGACTTTTGTTATTGTTGTTGACTGTTGGCTTGCCTAGCAAGCGGGTTAGGCGCCATCATGACCTTTGGTGAGATTTTGGATCATGATAATATGAGTCAATCTTAATAGATTTCCACAATAAATTAAATTAAATTTGTCTTAGTCCTTATTAGATTTCTCTAAAATACTTTTATATTTTGTCCTAAAAGTGCTAAGTGATTTTTTCTCAATACGCCATTTGGCTTAATATCAAGTTCGACTACCCTCATTTTAATATAATATAGATATAAAAAAGATACAAAAAAAGAAAAAATACATAAGTTGCCCCCTAAACTTGTCCAGAAAAATCAGATTCGCACTTAAAATTCACGGGGTGTCCTATTACCCACATGTTCTAGTTTAAAGTGAAACTAATGCCACCCTAATAACTAACGTGACATAAAAAGAAAGAGAAAAAAATGATGAACGCATTAGTAACCAAAAAATAAAAATAAAAACTATGTCCCCCTTTCTTTTTTTAATTTTCAGCCTCTATATTCCAGCACTTGTCCTTCTTCAACCCCCTTCCCCTCTGTTGTCTTTCTCCTTCTTCCTCATTCTCTCATCCCTTTCTTCTTCACATATCTGCTTCTCTTATTTTTTTTTATTTTTAGTTTTTGTCTTCAAATAAGTTGAGTATGATTATTCTTGGAAAGAAAAATAATTGTACAATAATCGACGGCAAGAACCATTCTTAAATAATTTTTGAGAACAGCTTGAAGATTCTCATCCATGATTCATAAAAAGAAAAATCTTTTTCTTTGGCTATTTTTAGGATGTCATTTTATTAATATTTTTTTAACAAAATTAAATAAAACAAGCTTTAGCAACAAATTAATCTAATCCGAGCACAAAATTATTGGAGTGAAACAGACTACAACTCTAGCTTCTCTCCTATTAGTATTCTTATTAGCCATATTATCAGGTATTCAAGCTATTTAGGCATAAAATAAATATATTACACTGGTGAAGAACAAGAGATAAAAAATAAAAAAAAAAACTAAAACATGGAAGATTTCTGATGTGGCTCTACGTGATGATGACGTGGCTTGCCAGTGTATAACACTTTCTACTATGAGACTGATATTATATACTTCAGGGTGGTATTAGTTTTACTTTGATCTAGGATAAGGGGTTAATGGGACTCCAGTGAACTTTGTGCAACTGATTTTTTTGGACAAGATTAGGAGGGCACTTATGTATTTTTCAAAAATAAAATGTTGTATACGTTTGTTTAACGATGACAATGAGACAGAACAGATGAGGAGCGGGGCGGGCGGGCTAGGCCTTATGCGGTTGTTTGAAATATTTTTTTTTTAAAATTATATATGGGTGCGGGGCGAGTTGCGCGTTTCAGGAGTTTTGTTTAAAATTTTAAATTGAACATGCCTTTAAGTTTATATTACTAACTTAAACAGTTATGAGTCTTAATTTTATTTACCTAGAAATTTTTAATCTGATACGCTTAAAATTGGTTTATGCTACTTCAAGACAAATAAATATGCAGGTTTAGTCAAGGAAGAGAGAGAAAAATATTAGAAATATGTTTCCATTGATTTGACACTACCAATTTTGAATAGGATCAAAATTACCACATACTTAGAATCAAAATCAAATAAAGAAGAAACAAAATATGTAGCACATCTAAGACCTAAAATATAACTAACATTGATGGGTTTTAAATTTATAAAGTTACTATACTCTTAACTTTCAGTATCGCATCTTATTATTCTACACTTAAACTTTAACAATTTTGTGTAACTACATTTACTTAAGTTGTTTTAAAGATCACTATCCTTTTGGAGTTTTATTTTGGTCTGAGAGGAGAAAAGAATTGAACAAATTCTTATTAAAATTGATGTCATTTTAGAAGTTAAACTGAAGATACAAGTAGTTAATACCATATTCTCGAATTTCAAATATTAAACTTGGGTGTTTTAGCAAAAGTAACAAAATAATTTTCTTTTTGCAGAGCTAGACGGGTTGAAAGTAGAAGAAATGCTATGAGATGCGGGTTGAAATTTTTGTGAGTTAAGTCTCAAACCCTCTTCCCCGCTCCACTACCATCCTAAATAGTAGGGGTGTACAAATCGAACTGAAAAACCACGCCAAACCGAAAAGTCAAATCAAACCGATTAAAAAAACTGACTAGGTTTGGTTTGGTATTGAGTAAAAAAATCCGAACCAAACCGACATATAAATATATAATTTTTATAGAATTTTTTTTTAAAAATGTCTAGAAATATTTAAGAATCTCTTATGGGATGTAATATTTAGTAAAATATGAAGTGCTCTATCTTTATTAGCTTTAAATAATGGGTTGTATGATCACTTTCTTATCAAGTGTTAGTGAAATGTGTCAATTTCTTTGTTCTTCTATTTACATATGTCAAGATCTATTACATTCTTATATCTTTTTCGAATTTGAAGTGGTATTTTGATAATTTAAAATTAAATACAACATATTATTATATAGGTATCATAATTTTATGTTCAATTATTAAATTCAGTTAACCTTGAAAGTGTACATCAACAAAAAATTATATATTATCAGACGACTAAAAAATAACTATCTTATGTTACTAAAAAAATTCTCCCATAAAAATATGTTAATAGATCATACGTTTCTCAATTTTTTTAATTTTTACTAAAAATATATTTACTTATAAAAAATTTAATAAAATAATATTGAAATAATATTTATGTAACAAAAAAATCCGAAAAACCCAAAAAATCCGGCGAAACCGAATCAATCCAAACCGATATAGTTGGTTTGATTTGGTTGTGATAAAAACTGAACCAGGTCCATGTACACCCCTACTAAATAGATACGTTCAAAAAGCTCTAGGAGGTATTTGTAATTATGCAATCTGGAGTGGAGGTAAATGAAATTAATGCTTCTGAAAACCCTAAACGGCATCGGTATAAGCTCTCTGGTAACAGGAGAGGGGACGAAGTGCAAATAGCAAAGCGAACCAAAGATGCAGATCTTCGTGAAAACCTTAACAGGGAAGACCATAACCCTAGAGGTCGAATCGAGTGACACCATTGACAATGTCAAGGCTAAGATTCAGGATAAGGAGGGTATTCACTTGTAATTTTCTCACTTTTTTCTTAACTTTCATAGTAATTGTGAAATAGTAAAGGTATCTGATTGATGGGTACTTTATAGGGATTCCACCGGACCAGCAACGTCTGATATTTGCTGGTAAGCAGCTTGAAGATGGCCGTACGCTTGCAGATTATAATATCCAAAAAGGTCAGTGTTGAATGCAATTGGAAACTAAAGTTTTTTTTTAACTGTTATTTTATTTTGGTTAATTATTTTTCCTAATGAAAAACAGAGTCCACTTTGCATCTTGTGCTGAGGCTTCGAGTTGGGATTATTGAGCCGTCTCTTATGGCTTTGGCCCGGAAGTACAACCAGGATAAGATGATCTGCCGCAAGTAAGTTCTCCTGAACAAAAAAGACTTGATTTCACGTGTTATGTTTACTTTTGGAACGATATTGACCTGATTTCATGAGAATTGGATATAGGGGATTCATATAGTCTGTTCCACTGGAACCGAAAAATAATTTATCTCAGAAATGTCAAAGCTCTAAGATGGCATCTTCAAGAATGTGTTTGTGGTGTGTATACGGTCGAAATAGATTTCGGCCCTCGTACGTTTGATCGGGTTCGAATGGTAAGCGACCGAAGTGAGACTTCGAGATGAGTTCCGAAGACAGTACAAACAAGCTTCGAGCTCCAAGACCGATCGAGGAGTCGACTCGGTATCATTATCAAGCCCATGACCAAATCGAACCGCAAGGCAACGTGAAGGTAGTCGGAGACGCACAGACCGATTGGCACTCACCCCGAATGTCGAACTCGAACCAAGGCCAAGGGCTCGACCCAATAACGAGTTCGAACCAGTATCGAGTTCGCAGACAAGAGCCATTGCAACCGCACTAGGGGTGAGAATCTTGGCGGGAATCGGGGAAGAGACAATTCATCATGGGTTCTCCACTGTATATTTTTTATTGTAAATAAAGTAAGATCCTTCTACTATAAAGGGGGAATCCATGTAAGCACAGGGCAGGTTCACACATTGTAAGAAAAGACTACTTCTATTTATTGAAGAATAAATCTCTTGAGCCTGTTTCACTCAGCATACTCACTCTCCTTATTCAATAATTCATATCCCATTTTTATAGCCAGGAATCTAAACATTTCCACTTCTAGTACGATTTATGTCAAGCTATATCACATATCCTTAGAACTACTAATAAATTCAACTATATCTGATTTTCCGAGTAAACAGTTTGGCGCCCACCGTGGGGCTAAGGGTAACAGTGGTTGTTTGATACAAATCTGCAATACACAACGGTTTACAACTTCAAATCAACAATGGCAAACCCTCGATTGATGGCTTTACCTATCGACCACGAAGTCGGCCTTCAAGATGAAACCAACAACTTGACACCCAAGGCCGGAAGGCGAATTAACGATGTTACCGAAGCTCGAGTCGAAGTACCGCTAGATGTCAATTCACAAGTGGCTCTTGAGGCGAACCAACGTTCCGAACCCGAAAAAAGCATTCGAGGCGGCACTTGATCCGTAACTCGAGACACCCATAACGTGGAGGAGATCGGAGTCAGCTTACGGATGATCTTCGAGATGTTACAAGCCCAGCAAATAGCGATAGCTCAGTTGCAGAGCCAAACTCAGGTGTTAGGCGCTCACATAGTAAAATCAGTACCAAATCTTAAGGGAATTTCCCCCACACAAGGTTAGGCAAGCCACTTACCTCGAACCAAGCTAAATCAGTCGGTAGCAATGCTCTTCCCACGAATATCCGGCTCCAAATGGCCCAAATCTAGCCAAAATCAATTACATACCATAAATATAGCTATTGGAAACTAATCTAGTCAATGAAATCTAAGTTAAAGTGAGAAATTAGGAAATCGCCCCAAAAGGCCTCCCCGGGCCCACGTCTCGGAATCAGGTAAAAGTAAAAAAAAATATGAACACCCATTCACTCACGAGTCCAACCATATAAAAATTACTCAAATACGACCACGAATCCCCTTTTAAAACTAGAAATCTTAGTTAAAGAACTTCTCCCAATTGTTCCCATATTTCAACCCCAAAATCCGAAATTAAAGATGAAATTAATGATAGATTAGTGGGATATAAACAAAACAGAGTATAGAATCATTACCCAATCTATGTCTCTGAAAATCCCCCAAAATCTCGTCCAAATTCGAGCTCCCAAACTCAAGTTTTGATAAAAATGGCAAAACCCTCGTTTTTGAAATGTTTAATACTGCCCAATGATTCCTTAAGTTGCGATCGCGGAAATAGCCTCACGATCGCGAAGCACAACTTCGCAGCACCAGAATTTAACCCTATGCGAACGCAGAAAACTCAACGCGAACGCGATTCACTAGCTCTCATACAAAACACCAGAAAATCTGCTATCTTCCACAAGTCCAAAATGATTCGTTAATCATCCGAAATCAACCCGCGGCCCCCGGGACCTCAACCAAACATACCAACCAAATCCTAAAACACCATACAAACTTAGTCGAGCCCTCAAACAACATCAAACAACGCTAAAATCACGAATCGCCCTCTAATTCAAACTTAAAAAACTTGAAACTTCCAAATCCGACAACCGATGTCGAAACTAACCAAATCACGTCCGATTGACCCCAAATTTTGCACACATTTCATATTCAACCCTACAGACCTATTCCAACTTCCGGAATCGGAATCCGACCCCGGTATCAAAATTTCACTACCGATCCAAATCTCTAAAACTTCGACTTCCTAAATAAGTTACTGACCTCCAAAACACTATTCGGATACGCTCCTAAGTTAAAAATCACCTAACGGAGCTAACGGAACCGACGGAACTCCATTCTGGAGTCGTCTTCACACAGTTCCGACTACGGTTTAAATCCTAAGACTTAAATCTCCATTTAGGGACTAAGTGTCCCAAAACACTCCAAAAACCATAATGAAACCTCCCGGCAAGTCACAATAGCAGAAAAGGATACGGGGAAAATAGTTAATAGGAGATCGGGGCTATAACTCTCAAGACGACCGACCGGGTCATCATCTAAGGGTTGTGGGTAATCTACTAGTCGACTAGTCACAACAATTGGAAAGACAAAAGTCTCACAGTGTTTGCACGCCCCATCATAAGTTTGGACAACAACATCAATTGGAGGTGTACGTTAGCAATTCAAGTTGGCTAATCCTTTTGGTACGCAAAACATGGCGCCTGGTGAGAGCGTTTGAGGTGCTACACTGAGGTTTTGCACTTGGCTAGAGGATACAAACAACACCTTCGATTGGAACATATTCAAGTCAAACTGTTGTAATAGCTAGATTACATGGATTTTTCCTACTTTCATTTGAATTTTACATACATTGTATAAACTGGATTCCTATTTTGGATTATTATTAATATATTCACCACAAGGCATCAAGCCGAGTGGCATATTTGCTTAAAAAAAACATCCACTAGGAACCCCCAAAACCCGGTGTCACAAGTGCATAAGCATCTATTAAGAAATATAATAAAACACAACATCTGTCTGGAATACAAGTTAGACAGGAGAATGTAAGTAACTGTGATGGAGACTCTGCATGATGCGGATCGTAACCTGGAATGCAGCTCACCAAACAGTCCCCACAATAGTCGTGCCTTTACGCCCAAAAGATCACCAGAAATATATATATACCTTCACAATAAATGCAGAAGTGTAGTTTGAGTACGTAAATCAACACGTACCCAGTAAGTATCTAGCCTAACCCCGAAGAAGTAGTGACGAAGGGTCGGCATCGACTACCCGGACATAATCCTAGACTACCCGGACATAATCAGGAATTCTAGCATGCGTACGGACACTCGTCACCTCATACGTGCGTAGCTTCCACAACATGTAACATATAAGAATATAACACATACGAGGTACATTCCCCCTCACAAGATTAGACAGGAGGCTTACTTCGCTCCGAAGTTCCATAACTGGCTCCAACGCCTTTCTAACTCCTCAAACCAAATGCGCACCTACGTCATAATTAATTAATTAATAACAATTTCCAACTCTGCTCGAAAAGTCAATAAAGTCAACCCTCGCGCTCACTTGCCCGGATTCCGAAACTTTTCGAAGATAAACATTACCCTTAATATTACGAATTCAAATATATAATTTATTCCTAATTTCATTTCCAAAATCGTGGTCAAAATCCAAAATTATCAATTCTAGGTTTCCTACCAAAATCCCACAAATTCCATAAATTTTCATCCTTAAATCCACATATAAACTATATATTTAGCTTACAACAAATGGAAAATTACTTACCTTGTATTGCATGATGAAAACCTCCTCAAAATAGCTCCCCAAATTCGGCCTCTCAAGAGAAAAATGAGAGTGAAGCCTCAATTTAAAAGCACCACTGCCCAGCAACTTTCGCACCAGCGGACCATTAACCGCACCTGCGGTTCCGCTCCTGCGAAAAAATCCATCGCAGATGCAGTTCTCTCTATGCCCAGGCAAATCCGCTTCTGCGGACTAAATTTCGCTCCTGCGAGACCGCTTCTGCAGTCCAGCACTCGCTCCTTTGCACTCCCACATGCGGAGACCTTCCGCTTCTGCGAGCTAGTATTCCGCTTCTGCGGAGCATTCTTCGAATATGCGGGCTCGCAGATGAGGAAATATCCTCGCATCTGCGGTCATTCCAGCTCCAGTCCAACTGTCGCTTCTGCAACTACAACGCCGCACCTGCGGCCAAAGTCTCGTAGGTGCGATTACCCCAGAAGCCTTAAGCTTCAGAAATTTTTTAAGTCCAAAATTCGATCCGATTCCAATCTGATTCGCGCCCGGGCCCCCCGGGACCCTAACCAACCATACCAACGCATCCAAAAACATGATACGAATTTAGTCGAAGCCTCAAATTATGCCAAACAACATCAAAACTAGGAATCGACTATCGAAACCCTTCTTTAAACTTTCAAACTTTTAAACTTTGCCAAACGAGTCCGAATTGCACTTAAACATTTCGGAATGACGCCAAACTTTACGTGCAAGTCACAAATCACGATACAAATCTATTTCAAGACTTGGAACCCCAAACGGACATCGACAACATCAAAATTCACTTCAAATCAAACTTAAGAAATCCTTGAACTTTAAAAATGCGAATCTTCCATAATAAGCACTGAAATGCTCCTGGTCCACCCGATACTTGACCCGAACATACGCCCAAGTCCGAAATCATCATACGAACCTATTGGAACCTTAAAATACCGATTTCGAGGTCGTTTACTTAAAAGTCAATCCTTGATCAACTCTTCCAACTTAAAGATTCCGAATTTAGAATTTTCTTTCCAAATCAACTCTAAACTTCCCGAAATTCAATTCCGACCATACGTACAAGTCATAATACCTG